TAAGATATATTAAGAACATTATTTTTATTACTAAATGTCTTTCCATTATTCCATTTAAAAACATGAATCATTTAGTTTATTTAATCTCAAAAATAGTTACGAATACAAACACTAAATGACCTACATTTCGACGAAATTGATTACAAAGCTTGGAGTTGATAAATGGGCAATCAACTTATCAGTTCAGTGTTAGTGAAGAACATGTAGCTGGATTATGAGGGTTACGACAGACTAACTTTGCTTCCATGAGGGAATGACAGCAGACACATGGAGAGAAAGGGGACGGCTTAGTTCAGGACTTGTATTATACAGTACCTTCTCCAGTTCCTTGGGAATACGCATGCATGTGTACACTCTCTCTCTGCGCTCTGTGTACTTTGCCTCATTGTGTTCCAGGAAGTAGCCTCTGGTGAGCTCTGCGCCAATGAAGCGTGTCAACGACGGATCTGGAACAACGTTAAAGCACCAGTGTTATTACAAGGCCATTGTCTGCAACAATTACAACCACAGCTATCAACACAATGATAGCGCCAACCAACAAAGTGAAAGAGAAGGAAACTTCTCTGAATGGTGGAAACTGGGGGTTTAACGGTATTCTCAGCTCACTGTTTGATTCAATGCACCATGAATACATTTTTATAATGGATGAACATGCAACATAAAGTTCTGTGGTATAAAGTAGGTTTTGTCATGTAAAGAAAGTGAAGTGATAGTGACAGTGTATTGTAACTTTATAAACTTAAAAATTATTGAATTCGACTATATTGCAATGGCTATAATAAAACAGATGATATGATCTAGGTTAATAAAAACAAGAAACAAATACAAGGGAAAGAGAGTTTTGTTGAACTGTCTGTCTGGCTTCATTCTAAATGTCCACATACTGTCTTGCAATGTTTTCCACTTGACTTCAACCTGTGGGAACTTGTCAAACATGTCATGCTTTATAAGCTGAAGACAAAAAGGAATTCAATGGACATTAAACATCACATGACCTAACAGTATAATGTTGGCTCAACTTGCAACAGTTTTGTTGTTAAAGTCACACAATAGGGCTGAAACATGCTGTGGTTTAATGGGGTTGAAGCCAAACATATCCAATCGGTTCGAGTATATTTAGCAGCCAGAAGCGTGCCTGGATTACGAAGAAAGTTTGCAGTCACACAAACTAGGGCCCAAGAACCTTGGAATATATTAGCTGTATCGTAAATTGTAAAATTATTAAAATTGTACGTTTTTTTTATCATATCTTATCTTATCTAAGATACAGTGGCTTTACTATTTGTACTTTATCCTGTCCAGTATTTATTCAGTAGTGTTTACTTTACAGATGTACCCTTTACTTGTTCTGGACTGGATTAATTCACAATCTGCAGGGTCAAATGAGGATCCATGTGAGTGTGTGTGGCCCATAAATGATGCCAACAGGTGTTAAACCAAAATATGTCACTCAGTAACTCAGTTACAAATGTCAGGCACACTGCCACTGTTTAAACAAGACAAAATAAATAGGCCACATTGGGTTAATTAATGAATCGGGAAAATGATCGCTGATACTGAAAATATATATTAGTTGCATTTCATGTAGTTAATGCTCCAACGCAAAAGAAACTGATGGGTCACAGATTAGAGCTGTATCTCCATAGTACTACTGAGATTTTGGTGCACCATCATATATGACAAAAACTTATAAAATCCTCACACTGGAGAAGCTGGAACCTGCACATTTGACATATTTGCTTGAAAAATAATTACAACCATTTTAGATTATAATAATAATAGTTGATAGATGATAAACTGATGGATTAATCAAGCCATGACCATGAAGTTTCTGCTCTCCTATCTGACAAAAGTGTAACCAAACAGTCACGTTTCGACATCACTGTGACCCTGTCTACGTGTTATATAGACGCGATTTCAGGAGATAAGTGTGCCTGAAGTTCACCAGGTCATGTAACTTGGTGTAACTCCTGAAGGTGATGATTTCTGGACAACCCGAGGTTAAAGCTGTGGTTAGATACTGAACGTAGACTACAGGTTGTTTACTCCTCCTGACTGTAAGCAGCTACAGGCGCGGTTTATACACCCATGCAAACAAACTTTAGACATTAGTAGAGTGTCTAGGTAACAGTTTGAATTATTCTGTGTCAGTAACAGAGTTGTTTTCAGTATGAGCTAGCTAACGTTAGTAAATGTGAACAACAAGCGTTAACAGCACTAGACTCAGCTTTTACATTGTGACGTTAGATACTCACTCCTGGAGCTTTTTGTAACTTATTAAGACTCAAAGAAATACTGTTCAAATAGGAGAGAAATCAGCCAGGACATTAAAACAACAGCACTGAGCCGTGTCCCGTCGGTGAGCTGTAACGGTGGTAACGTTAACGTCGGTGGTGGGGACCCGGTTACCTGCTGGGTGCTCCCGTTGCTCCCTTCTGACAGCGCTTATATCGTAAAATCCCAACGTTTCTGGCAGTTCTGGGGTTATACCGATTTTACCCGACTTGTGCAAATCATCCCACGGTCTTTTCTGTCTCTTCTTTAGCTCAATTTCTGCTTCTTTTTCCTCTGACAGCTCGGTCCCCGACAAGTCCGCCATCTTTACTTTGGCCGCCGTCACTGCTGCCGCGTCGCGCGGGGCGACGTCAGCGCATCGTACGTAAAAACAAACAACGTCATAATGATGAAAGTTACCGGGTGGATTTAAGGGTTTTAGATTTTAGCCAAGAAAATTATATTTCAAACATTATGGAAACATTTTCACATTCATTCTGCTTTTAAACCCCCCAAAGACTCGCTGCTGCTTTTACGAGACTTCTTGAAAACACATTTGTGCCATATTCTTTTATTAGATTAATTTGTCTATGAATCTAAAGGCTGTGAAAACAATAAAGATATTTTGTATTTACTTATTTACTTATCTAGTTATACATATTTTAATTTGTTTGTACCTCCTATAATATTACTTAGTTTACATTTGTTATATGGGCCAAGAATTGTGTGCTTATGTGTTTGTTTCAATAAATAATAAGAGACAAAAATAATCAGCAGTTCTACTAACACTGAGGTGGAAAAAGACCTTGATTACTTATCGTTAGTTTGTGCAACTGTTTAACTGTTGCTTAGTTTGTGTATTTATATATAATAATAATATTATAAAAATTCCAAATGTATACATAAATGGACTATGGAAAAGTTGGAATCATGGAATAATTAAATGTTGTTGCAGTGTCCGCAGCTCTCCACTTGGTGTCGCCAAAGCTCCATCAAATCGTCCTGGATTTAAAATTTCCCCAACAACAGTGCCAAGGTCTGTACTGAGTTATCTCGAGAACTTTGCTGAGTATTACACAGAATCCATTTTCCAAGTTTTACCTCACTTACTTTAAAAAAAGAAAAATATTCAGGTATATTTCTGTACATGTCAAGATTTAGAACCAACATGGGGAACAAATCCAGATTAACTCTTACAGAAATAATCACCTGCAGTGATGGAGGAAGTATTCAGATAGAAGTATTAATAACACACTGTAAAAATACTCAAATGACAAATGAAAGTGAACATGAAAATGTTACGTAAGTAAAAGTATATCATTAGATTATTGTTACTCATGCATTAATATAAAATAAGTATTTTACTATTTTAGTAAGGGGATGCTTTTAACTATTTTGTATAGAACTGTAACTAATGATTATGAATTAATCCGCTGATTATTTTCTCCATTAATCAATTGATTGTTTGACTTTCTGAAAATAGTGAGAAATGCCATCCCAATTGCACAGAGCACAAAGGGCGCCTTGACAGTGCTTGTTTTGTCCACCCACTAGTCCAAACCCCAGAAATGAATTAAGAAAAAATCAGAAAAATTAAAAGGAGAACCAGAAAACCCTCACATATGAGAAAACAATATTTCAATAAACCTAATCATCAAAATAGTTGCTAAATAATTTTCTACTGGGTTCATAACAAAGCATCATATTTTATAAGCACTTCATTTGTTTTTTTTTATACAAAAATCTCAATTTGTAACTAGTAACTAAAGCTGTCAGATAAATATAGTGGAGTAAAAGTAGCACAAAAGTAGCAAAGTGGCATGAAAAGTCAGGTAAAGTACAAGGATCTCAAATTTGTAATTAAGTACAGAACTTAAGTAAATGTAACTAGTTACGTTCCACCACTGATTCCACCTGTAGCTTTAATGTTTAATATCCTTGTAAACAGAAGAAACATGAATACAAACAACCTGCTGATGAACTATACTGAAAGGCCGTTCTTTAAACAGTGTCAGTGTCCTTCAATAGTTAACTTAATGACATAACTGCAATGGTTAATGGCTACACATTTCACCTCTCTATATAATTTTGACATCCTTATCATATTCCAGGACATATTTCATGATAAAGAGCAGTAGTTGTTTAAATAGATATTCTTCATGTAACGTTAGTTATTTCCTACAGTTCTTTTATGTAACCTCCAGGAGCAGGAGAGGAGAAGGTGCATGAACTTGTAGTTAGGATCTTTAGTCAAAAGCAAACGTGGGCATACCAAAGGAGTGTTTGAATACTGGAGCGGGTTTATGATCACTGACTCATATCTAAAACACAACTTGTCTTGTGGCTGCAATGCATTCTGGCCTATCTACCTCTCTACCTTATCTCTGGTTGTTCTCCCAGTGTAATCATTAAATAGCAGCAGAAAATGGCAGCTCTGGAAAAAAGCTTTTGCTCTTTTATATTCAGCGACTGACGTCAAACATGGTGTTTAGGTTGGATCACTAAATCATTTTCTGCTATTAGACCTCATCACTGATGCAGGGAATATTTGGACATAATTTCCAATTATTTTCTTTCACCGGTTGTCAGCAGGAACAAGAAAAATATAGCACAAAACAACAATTTCAGTCCATAAATGTAAGTTAGACTTTTTGTCTTTCTTTCACATATCTAAATAAACAGATTCTACATGCACACATGATGCATGTAACCAAACCAAATTCAACTCCTTTGTAAGCACGGTTTATTGGCACACATAATGGTAAAGCATACATACCAGACATCAGATATGACACTGAACACCTCTGCTATATAATGTACAAATGGTGTCTAATAATACTAGGCTCAAACATATTTAGAAATGTGTTAGCTTCCTTACAAATGCACAAATAAATACCCATAAGATCCAATTGTATAAAGACATCTGTCATTGTCTTCTTGCCCATTTTCAAACAAAAGTCCAACAAAAGAGATCAGGGATATAATATCAATTCAATTAAAGATTAAAGAACAATTGTGAACACAAATACAGGGATCTCAAAACATTTCTGTGGGGTGGACAGGATTTTGTCTGTGCGGTTTTTAGAATGTAAAATTGTTTTCTTCCTATGTCCAAGAATATACAAGATATATGATTATGTGACTGTTAACTTTGTGGCTTTGGTTCTGCACTAGCTAAAGAGGACAGGGAACATTAAGAGAGTTAGAGGCAAACCAGCGTCCATCCAAACCACCCAACAGAAATCTGAACCGCCTGTACAAAAACAAAACAGCTGCCATATCCAAACTGGTTTCAGTGGCTAATTTACAGTGGACAAAATAGATTCCACCTCTATTTACAGAGCTACAAACCTTGTAACAGTGTTCCCAAACTGATGAACCCAAAAGGAAAAATCAGACTGATGTGTTTTAAAAAGTACATATATCAAACAAAATAAAAATCCTATAAAATCATGCAGGAAAAGGCTTTAGTATCAGTTTGGGAGTAGGTCGTTAAAGGGAAAGAAGTCCAATTTTCGAGGAGGGAAAAAGAAAATAAAAATCAACACTGATGCATCAATGCGAGTCGGCAAAGTTCACATACTGATCGGCGAAATTACAATGTGATTGCAAAGGATTCCGAGAGAAGCAAAATACCAATAGACTACGAACACAATCAAACTGGTTTGCATGAAATCACAATCTGTGACGACCGCAGTAAAGTGGAAAAACAATCCTAGGACACGATTTTCCCTCGTTTGAAAGGAATCCATAGCAGTAGAGAACTTTTATTTCCTCTCAATTGAAAATGGAAATAAACAGCAACAGCAGAAACAAACCAACAGCCAACTGAATTTCCAATAAAAATGTAATTGCCCTAAAACAACGTTTCATTTGTCTCCAATGTGGTTAGACGCTTCCATTGGCTCTGTTGGCTGCTAAAAAACAACTTGCCTTCTCCACGATGAGTTTGCTTTTTTTTTTTTAGACATTTTGTTTGTTATTTTTATTCTTCTTCTTTTCTCCCCACTGTCTACTGTCAGCATGATGACTTGCGACCCACAGGTCAACCAATCACAGCTGTAGTATTCCACTAGACGAGGAGTCCGAGGAGGAGAATTTGATCTGCAATTTTCCACTGCATTCTTAAAAAAAAATGCAGACGCTTTGCTATTTTTACATTACAGTTGCATACGACTTGTATGCATTTGTTGTCTCTGACTGGTGGATATTGCTGTGCAATGCTGCCAGTTCTCAGTGTTCTCCAAGATGTTACAGTGAGTCAGAGAAGAAGAAAATATCCAGAAAGGACATATTATGGCTGGACGTGCCAGTGGTGAGTTTGCAGACGAGGGGGTTCTGATTCAGTACAATGTTATGAGGCGTAGAAGCACTGCCATCAGGGGAAGGGGGGAGGTTAAAAAGTCCAGTCCACATGGAGCCAAGAATCTGTTGTTTTCTTCTTCTTCTTTTGTTTTACTGTGAGGGCTGGGGCGCTGTGCTCTCGGGCTTGCTGTCCTGAGCGGCGGGGGGTTTGCTGCTCCAGGGGGCGTTGTTGCCCAGAGCCGGGGAGCTGTTGAAGTCGTCCTCGTCGTCCAGGCCGTTGGTGGCGTCGTACTGCGTGTTCTCCAGGCGAGTGATCAGACGCTCATCCTCGTCCCCGAACTCGCCGCCCATCAGGGTCGGCTCGCCCACCACCATCACGTCCTGGAGAGAGGCAGAGACAGGGAGAGCAAATTTACAAACTGGAAAACAATGAAATTACAAATCTTCTTCTTTGTGGGTGTAAAAAGGTCATGTCATGTTCAAGCTGTGTCAGCCTGTTTGTCACACTCAGTTGTAAAAGCACACTTTATTCACATACCCTCTTTATGCTATTTGAATGCTGGGATTAAGATACAATATAATATAATGAGGTCAGGGTTGTGTATCACATTTCTTTTTGAGTGTTACAGCAAAGCAACCTTATTTTCTGCTAGACCACTATCATTTTTTAGTTTATCCAATGAAGTTTTGGATGGATTTGAATGAATATCACTTTTTGTGTGTATAAATGTATCATTTAGCCCTAAAAGTCCTCTCAATTTTCTTTTTAAATCTATTTAAGTTTTGTCTTATTGATAACCTACATAAAGGAAACCGAGAAACTATATCATAAAACAAATGATCTTTTTAGTCACAAAACAGAACACAAACATATTTATCCCTTTTTCTTCTTGGGGAATTTGCTTGCTTCTTTCTTTGCTAAACCCACATCTCAACAGTTTTAGTCAAATACTATCAATTCTTACGCAGGAACCTGGGTTGTGCAGGAACGTCCATCTATAGTCTCGGAGTGATTCAAAATTAACATGCTAAAGTGAGCGAGAAATCACCAGAGAAGAAATTAATGCATATCTGTTTCATCTAATTCTGAGACCAAAGCACCATCTGAATATCAAGTGCACATCCACCCAAGAAGACCTTGTAAGATTTGCATCACTTCAAATAAATGAATATGCATGTTGCCTGTTTCATATAATCTATAATATAATCAACCACTCATGAAGGGTTAAAAATACTACAAGGTCATGAAGACAAACATTTACAAGACTTCATTCAGCAGCTGATGTGTTTACAGCTGCTGAGGAGCACCCAAACCCCCTACGATGGGAGGTGTGTATTTTCCTGCTTCAACACGGACCCCCTGCTCGCGATGGAATAACAGCAGGAGTTTGTGTGTGTATGTTTGTGTGTGTGTGTGTGTGTTTTTAGGGCAGACGTCGGGCGTATCCAGTGAACCCATCCAAACGGTCGACCCCTCTCAAAGCACTCTGTGCAAATGAAACCTTCCCGTACAGAAAGTGGATTCCCCCAGCGCTCTGTACCCGCCCCAATCAATACTCATCATGTAAGACATATTTCACAGAGATGGCCCTCTCGCATTGGGTCAAAGAAGGGAAGGAGAGAGATTTATCCACCGCTATCTGTGACTGTGTTGTGAAGCAAACCTAATGATTCTCTAGGAGTGGATGCACCAGTGTGTGCTCGTTTTATTCCGTGTTTCAGGACAAATTCTTCTGCACTTCATGAACAAACTTCTGACAAATAATCACTGGAGTGTAATTTGTGAATTCAAACACTGATCAATAAGCTCTGAATTGTGGCTGTATTTCTTTGTGTGTGCTGAGTCTGTGAATCTCATCTTCCTTTGACTGGGTAAGCATCTCCCTACTGGCGGGCCCCCAGCACCACCCACCGTAACCTGGGAAGAAGCTGTACAGTTAAATGGAGCGCACGCTTCACTGGCCATGTGTGTCAACGCTGCCTGGCTCGGGAGATCTCGCTCTTCTCAGCCATCTCCTCTGCAACACACACTCACATGCTCACAAACCCAGATTAGTTTACTGTACAATCACACAACCACACACATGAACACCAGCACAGACAAAAGCACTTGAATGCAGACTCAACATTAACCCTATGTGTTGTACACAACAAACACAAGCAGGAGCGCACACACACGCCAGCAGAGATAAACAAACATGCACTGAGCAAACACACATGATCACATCCAGAGAGCATTCATGTTAACATACAAACAAAACTAGACGACTTAGCACACCACCCCCACCCCGCCACCCAAAAACTCAAAACACACACACTTGGATGAGGAGCAGGAATGGGGAGAGAGTTTATTTATCCAAGCCATCCCCAAATCCCCCCTAGCGACCACTTCTACACCCCACTATGCCTTAATCAGGCTAATTAATTTAGGTGAGCTTTTCAACTAAATGACAATATCCACACTGATTTGTCAATTTGCATAGCTAATTAAGTCATTAGCTAAAAACGTGCTGATTGCCAACAAGCCTTGCATTCACCATCTGTTCCTGTGAGGAGGCCTGTCAACCTACCTCTGGCCAATTTTGGGCCAAAAAAAAAACAAAAAACCAAGAATTCCTCAGACGATAACAGCTGGTGGCTAGTCTGAGACTGGGGAGTGCTAATTGTGAGCTAATTAATACGGTCTACTCGTCTACTCATCTCGTTAAGAGTTAGCTTTCCGGCTGGCTAGGTGGCGAGGCTTTGAATGGGTTTGACGCGGCGATGAACGCTTCCCTGTGGCCTCCATTCACCGAGCAGTACCATTAGCATATTTTCAGATTAGCGGTGAGAGGCTTGGAGGACATATTTGCCTCCAAGACAACAAGTGGGAATTTAAACAAGATGTGGCAACGAAATAGTGAAATTAGATGATAACATATTTTAAATAAAGTTTACAGTAGTTGGCAGGCCTGATGCACACGGCAAGTTTACTGGCCCCGCATCGCCTCTTTATTCAAATTTAGAGAAAGGCAATCCACAGTCTACAGTTTAAGTATTGATTTCTATGCTAGTTAGTTTGCTGTTTTTTGACTTAATGCAAACATCATAAAATACTTTAAAGGATGAGACGTATAAAGGTAGTCTCTCAGTGCTTTCAGACTTCCCCACCATGTCTGTGGCTCTAACTCCAAGCTCAATTGTTCCAACTGAAAACTGCTCACAATTATATACATACATATATAAATTACTGAGCCTTTAAAAATATGTTTATACATATTTTTTAAAGGCTCAGTAATTTGCTAAAATAGCTGGTCACTGTAGTTTTTAGCTATTGTTACTCACTCGGGAGTAAACAGTGGATTTACTGGGGACTATTTTTGGTGGCAAACTGATACACATTCATTTCCGACAGCAGGATGGTGTTATGCAGGACGACTCAAAATAAACTGTAAATGCCCATATTCATATTAATGTAAACAATAAGCAATATAAACAGTGTGGCTCACTGATGTGTTTTTAATAGCTTTTTTGACAACAGAACTCTATGGCACAGAGGAATAAGCTTTGGATACACAGACAATACTTTTGTGTGGGATCAATTCATTGTTGTTGTTTTTTTAATGAGATTTGTTGACAATAGGAAACATATAGAATACCACCAGCCTTATCCTCCAGGGGCTCATATAAATACCAAATAAAATTTGGTCAACACTTGAATAAAATTGCAAAGAATATAGTCATGTTCCAAAGTTTTGCAACACAAACTTTGTCTGTACTTACAAACTTGATCTAAGTTACAATATCGGTATACAAATCTGAGTTCTAGGATTTTTTTTCGCCAGTGCCACATGATCACAGGCATTTCTTTAAAAATATACAACTCTATTTTAATTCAGTGCAGAACCCTTTAAAGGCAATCCTTAAATGATCTTCAATCTATGGTCTGCCAATTCAATATACAGTGGATGTACAGTTAATTATGGGTTTAGTCCATAATATGTCTTGTAGGCAGACTAACACTGACTTATATAAATAATGTGCAAAACCTGCTGCTCGAGGGCTGCTTGGTAAAATAAAACAACACACTCAACACTAAATTCAGGCCACAAGAGGTCAGTGTTGTTCATTCTATGAGGGACCCCCCCCCACCCCTACATGCACACTCACACACACACATACACACACACCTCCCCACCTTCTTTCCCCCGCACCTCTTCTCCTCCAGCCGCTGGTAACCCCCCCTTCCCCTTGCGAGGGTCCACTCCTTATTGTCATTGGGCTCACGTAGGCTTGTGCTCAGCCACAAACGAACAACTTCTCAGACAAAGACAGCAGGCGCGCAACATATGTAACCAGCATGTTACCAGCCACGCTGCCAGTCTTTAAGAGGCGTGTGAATGCAAGGCATGAGTGGTACGGGTTGTGTGTGTGGGGGTGGGTGGGTGTGAAGGGGAGCTTGAGGGGGGGGTGATGGTGTAGAGCGTGTGCATGTGACAGAGGAAGGGGCTGGGGCTGGGGGTGGACAGTGTATACAGATATCGGTGATAATGAGAGCTGGCACAGAGCCAAACTGCCTTCTAGAGAGAAAACAATTGCGCACGCTGTGTGTATATGCGTGCGTGATGTACATTATATATGTGTGAGACAGAGAGAAGGAGGGAAAACAAGAGGAGAGAGAGAGGGAGGACAGCAAATCTCAGATGATGACGAGACAGCTAACGGGGGGACAGTAAATAGAGGGACAGTGAAATATGTGTGTAAGTGTGTGTGTAGGTTAGAGAGTGTTCCTTGTACAGAAATACTGTAAAAAAAGAAAATTAGGTTTTCCAGCGTTAGGTGCCACACAGATGAACAACCCCAACCTGGTTGGAAATTGGAGAAACAAGTCCATAGAGTATTAAAATGATTCGCCCAAACTGGAAATGTAGAGCTTCTACACGGTCTACAATGTCCCTATGTTCAGTGCTGCCTCCCAGAAAGTATGTTTATATACTATTAAATTTTAAACATAAAATAGGTTAACATCCGATGCATCCAGTATTATGTTTTCAATCAACATAATGCAGGAACGTTGTCAATCAGTTTATCTGTCAAGTCGCAAACATGTTCACTGACAATGCATTTTATTGTTTTTTCCCACAATATCTACTCCTGCAATATAATATTTGCAGCAACTAAAGCATTAAAACACTTTTCATGGTTAGGTTTAGGCACTCAAAGTCTCAGGATCACAGACTGTACAATAATAGCTCAGGTGTTTAAGTGCTGTGCACACTTTACACAGCACATGCTGTCTACATTACAGTTACAGGGGAACAAAATCAAAGAAGGAATTACGTTTTCTTTCTAAGTGTGAAAGGGAAAAACAAATTAGAAGTACATGAACGTCATTTCTGGATGGATATTTAAATACATATAAAGCATCAGCACTCTTAAATTTTCCATTAAGCAGAATTAGTCCTGTGTGCTTTAATGTCAACCTGCAGCCCTTTAACACAGATAAGGTCTAGTTATGTTTAGGTATCAGTACACTTCTGGCTGCACTGGAATGACCTGTATACAAAAGCAGCAGAGTGCTGCACCAGCGTGGCTCCAGAACAGTAAATTGGATGCAGTAGTGCAAATATAAGAAAGTATATGTGTAATGAGCAGTGTATGGAAGAGGTAGAAAACTAGACCTCTGCAGACAGAGCACTTGTACAGTATCAAATCCTCGAGAGTGCCAGGCATGTGGTGTAATACTCAACTGTTTAAGAGGCCATTTAACCTCTAACTGTGTCAAGTGGGCTGTTATGGAGACATCTAGCAAAATCAGACATTCATACCCTGAAACCCTGTATGCATATGACTCACATGGCTAGATATTTCTAAACTTGTCTTTATCCAGGTTACTTTTTCTGAATGATAGTATCAGATCAATTGATTGATTGTTGGTTGGTTTTATTTGTTGAATACTGGCTGGTCACATAGTCCACTGCTGATGGAAGTAAGGCAGTTAAACTGTTCACTAAAGTAGTTAGGAAGATTTTCACTACAACTGAAGAAATGTGATGGGACTTCCCATAGGAAAAGCTAATAAGATAATACTAAACGAATTTCATTATTCTGCTTTTACTTTTTACTTTATTTTTTATTTTTTAATACAATGGATAAAAGTAAAATTGCTTAATCACAAAAGTGACAAATGAACGTTTACAGACAACCAAAATGTTCATACATCAGTCTAAAAATGTTTTTTTTTAATCTTTTTTGAACCAATCACGTTACAAGTTACATAACAAAATACTGGCTTGCTAGTATTATTTTCAATATTGGGTTGTGGTTTTGCAGTTGTGTATTAGTAGTATTTTCTATAATGAACTATCTAACATTTACTATCATCATCTCACATTTACTGTTACAATGATAGTACAGGTTATTGTTCAAAAACAAAATATCAGACCTGATATAGCTGATACATACAATAGTTATTTATTTGTTTTTACTCTCAAATGTTTGTATCACCCTCTAAAAGACCAATGGTTGAGCTCATAAGACCTGATATCATATGTACAAAGCAGTATTACTGGAGCAGCTGAGTTTACAAATGTTCCAGCACAAATTTATTAGAAATAATTCACCAGGCGCTGAATGACCAAATGGCACAGGAACAGGCTGTACTGGAACAACATATGAAGCTCTTTCAGTTGTTTTATTTTACTTTCACAGCAGCTTTACATTCAGACGGTTCTAGACATGCAGAGCTTCTGAGACTCTGCTACCAGTCCTCTGGGCAGCTGTGAGTTCGGTACCTCTGTCAGGGGCATTTTCAACAGTGGAAGCTCAGAGAGGGCTGAGAGTCACTTTCCCCACCCACCCATTTTCCTATTCAGCCCTGAGATCCAAACCTTTTTTTTTTTCCTTTTTCAAACCTCTAGGCTATGGCCACTTGGTTGAGCAATGGGGTCAGCTGGGTCTATTTTAAACAAACATATTCTGAAGTAGTGTACTTGGAGAGAAACTGGTAGAAAACTAAGGAAGTAGCTACACAGTACAATATTACCTGCAGCAAAGCAGCAACGGAATACTTTTATTCACCTTTACTTGTTGTTTAGAACTTCAGTTGTTCTTGTACTATTTTCTGCTTTGATGCTTTTTAATGTCATTCGTGTCACTCTTTATGATATTTGATGTATTTTCTCTTTTGGGGTAAGATGTTTTCATACAAATCCCTTGAGGTTTCTTTGTCTCACTGCACAGGTTTCTTGTCTACCCTCTCCTCCTGGTGTTTTTTTTCTTCTCTTTTGTGCAAATAAATTAAACCTAATAGCTGCAATACCATTAGGAATATCTCGTGTGTAACCCTGCGAACATGCATGTGGAATCACAGAAAAATAAAAATAAAAGAGGAGGCAAACCGAGTGGAGCTGATGCTTACAGGTACCTGACTGGAGAGGCTGAAGTTGGTGGCGGGGCTGCGTTTCTTGCCTGCGGTGGTGCCCACGCTGCTGTTGGCGCTGCTGGCCGAGTTCTTCCGTTTCCTCCTCTTCGTGGTGGTCTGTCGGGCAGGCTCAGCTTTGGCACGACCAGCAAAGAGAAACAGAGGCAATGCCAAGAACATAATGCATACTGACGGAGACAAGGTGTAGGGGTGTGTGCTGTGTGGAGAGTGTGCATGTGAGGTCATACAGTAGAGGCTCGGACAGACAGCAACACATGTGGAGGCACAAAAGCATGCAGACAAATTTGTACACAATTCCTGTATGCATGCATGCATGCACGCAAAGAGAGCACACACATAGAAAGTCATTCTACAGAGATAAGAGCGACTAATGTACAATGATCCATGCTTTGTTTTCTTCAGAGGTGAAACCGCAAGAGCGCTAACATCTCCCAAGACATGCACTAGTAAGAAAGAACCCCTCTTTCATTTGCATAAATGCTCAACAATGGACCCTGATGCTCAACGTAATGTAAATTTGTTAATGATTTAGGCACTGCACGGATTGCAGTGTTCCTCAAGTAGCATGAGCCAGATTAAAACTGCTCTGCTGAGCCAGAAAGCACAGTTTCTCTTACTGAGTATGCTGTTATACTGTAGCTATTCTTGCACGTGTTGCATTATATTAGAATCAGTTTGCTGTGGATGGGTGTGTTATTGTTGTAATCATTATGTTTCAGCCGCCGTTTTAGAACTCTGTTACAGGCATTAACCTGACACATGTAACCTGTATTTGTTATATCACAGGTATTAGTGCAGTTTTCGAACATGCAGCTGAGCATCGATGATGAACTTGCCCACAAAAATGTATTTGTTGGCATTCCAGTGAGCACTGCAATGCTGCTTTCTTATGAGACAATCAACAGTGTAAGAGAGAAGATACCTTTTTTGTGATTTGTGGGAAATATTTCCGTTTTGAAGTTCTGTGGGTGTCCAGCTGAAACCGGAGCCAAAATCAGTTTTATTTTATTCAGGTGATTGAATATTTTCTCAAACAATTTAAGACAGCATGAGACCAGAGAGGACAGCAGAGAAAAGGGAAGAGAAATACTTCAATACATTCAATGCCATACAGATGCTACTTAACACCACTGGGAAACATATACTTAGATGAAAGATTTTTTTTATGAGCTATACATAACTCCTAAAGGTACAATTAAATCACAAGTTAAATCCTTATTATTAAAAAAATATCAAGTACTGACACAGGTTAAATAGAGATCTAGGTGTTTCTAGCATTTACAAAATAATTTATGTAGAGAATCATTTATGAATACATGATTTTGCAAATTCTGCCAACATTTGTTAGAAAACATTATTCCTTTTAATCTCAAGAGAGACAAGAAAACACTGCTGTGATCTTCAAACAGATGTCTGAAAATGAAATACATTTTTCGAGGTTCTTACTAATCACACCAAGGGAGATGCTTTCATATTCCGTTACAAAAACCAGCGACTCATGATACAAACAAATCTGGAACTGTAAATCAGAGGCAAAACAATAAGGGGAATTTTTATCAGTATCTTTTCTCTTTTGATTCCTGACTTTGACAGACGTGTGTGCAGAAAAAAGCGGGGCCTATTGTCAGAGACAATCATTTCTGTTATCCGACCGGTTTCCTTTCGATGCTGAACCGGTGACGCACTAAAATCACTTCCATTTCCACCAAAAGGACTTATCAGAGCATAAATGCGCCTGTGGCTTCCTTCCTGGCTAAATCCCAACCAGTTTCCAAGCTGGAGAAGAATTGCAGGAAAAGGGGAATAACACGCTACCAATAAGGAAAACCGCAATTCCAGCTGAACTGCAAAGTTCATGTCAAAATATAGACAACACATGACATGAAATGACCCCGAAAAACTCTCTTTAACGGTAAAACACACTTAGAAGGCCTGAATTAAAGAAAGCCAAAACCACCATTCCCACTCAGACTATATCAAATAAATGATAAAGCTGCATATTATATCAAACTACATCACACATTAAGGTGTTTCATTAATTACTTCATCCAAAAGAGAGCACTGACACCCATATAGGATTTCATATCAAGCTGTGTTCCTTATATGTGCACAATTAACCATCAATACAAGCCCCCCCCCAACTATATATTCATAAAATGCTTTCCATGTCTTTTTTTCTCTCTGTTTTTTCTTTTCTTTGAAGAGCGTCGTCGACACTGGGGAGCTGCTGGCCGGGGAGCTGGATCTACTAGTATGATTACACCCGGCACTCTTAATTAAAGCTACACAGGTCTGAGTCAAAGGCTTTTTGACTGGTGTTGGTTTTTAAAGACATCTCGTCACGCTTCGCTAAGCATTGCTGTAATTTGCAGCCACTCCGATGTGTCCAAAAAACTCGGCTTACTCTTTCTCTCCAGCTTAAGACCGCACAGCCAATTTAAGCCTGCTACTTTTCAGAAACCGCCCTTAAAACATCAATCATAGAAAGCTGAGAGGCCCGTAAAGATTGGCGGGGTTGAGATTCAAGAGGTAGCCCTGAATTCTGATTCATTTCACATACCTGACAGGCAAAACACATTTAAAGGATTAACACATATAATGGCAAATTTGGAAACATAAATGACGCAATAAAAACAGTCCATTCCAACGAAGTGAGTGATGGTACAGAATAATTAAAAGCTGTTTTGTAAAGGAGACGAAATTACTTAAACCTCAGTAAAGCAAACAATTAACACTTCTGTTGTCATTTATGTAAACTGGATTTGATGCCATTTTGGACTCCTTTTTAAATGTATTTCTGTTCGGAGAAGCAGGTTTATCCGGACTTTATCTGGAAAAATCTTTGCTGAAAGAAAACCAGGAAAGTTCTTTTCATATTCATCCATGTACCAGATATGTGGGAGTTGTTTCACTGAAAAATGTTATCCAGATGTGCTTCTTTGAACAGGCTCATGGTCAGTAAAGATATGTGTTTCAGTGGTGAGTAGTTACCTGGTGGGGCTACCATTCTCTGCCATTTTTGGAATAGGCATGTCTTGAGACAGTCCCGCGGGCTGAGGTTGTAGGTCTTGTGCCTTGACATGAGCTCCTGCATGGGCTCCAGGATGACACACAACTGCAGACACAAACCACACGTTCAGTTAAAGCAGATTTATTTAACATTTGATGAGAGAACAGTGTCTTGTCCCCTGCTGCAGCCTCTCATCAAGGTAAAGCAAAAAAAACTCCATAAAAACGCTGAGTTTGTTGCTCAATTAATCACCCACAGACTGACTTTGAGTGATAAATTGTGCAGTAAATCTACTTTTTATAGACAGTATTAATAAAGTACTATCAAAACAGGTTTATTGTCAAGTGCTTTAAAGAGAAGCACAAGATAGAGACAGATAGAGAAAGATGGGCAGGAGGATACATTTGAATATGAGCGGGCTTTGTTGAGCTGTTTACAACTCACAACAAATATGTATATGACACATCTGTGCGTCTATACACACATACTTGGACATACACATTTATCTGACTGTTTCCTCACTCGGACTCACAGAACAGTAACTCGTTCCCACACTGTACTCCAACAATATTCTCCAGTTAAAAGACCTTAAGTACAATATTCAGTCTGGAGAAAACTGTAAATCTCTGGTGATCTGCAGTGAGAGGAACCAGGGGTCAGCCTGTCATCTTAAATACATTAGGCTTTAGCTTAGCCAGATAACATCTGGATAACATTACAAGCTGGCCCTTCTTTAATAGCAGCAACCACCCAAATGGTTGTTGATGTAGTCAGAGGACAGTGATTGGACAGCTACAGGGCTGTCTTATTGCTGGACCAATCACAGAGTAACACTGGGATCAAACTCCAGGCAACCTGCCCGTCCTTTTCCTCTAACTGGATAAAACTGTTTTTTTCCCCTCCCTGTCTGTTCTCTATTTTTGAAATTTTTACCATTTTCCTTTTTTTGAGCAACGCCCTGTATTATGACAAATAATATCAACAATTTATATTCAAAGACTATAAAGACGCACAGCAGACCTTCATCCTCTTTGTTCTCTTAGCAAGAAATGTACATATCTTGCTAGTTCACTGGGAAGGGACCATCACATTAAACTCCAACTCTCCCAGTCCCTCACACCTATTAAATCTTTTATTTTGTAAATTATCATGAGAATCACAAGCTTTCAAGATGGTTTCTTATAATTTTCAATATCGTAGTGTCCTATAGTTAGGACCCGATACTGCGCTTTTGTTCCCTAACATATGTAGCAATAAGTTACTATCAGAGCTAGACTGATAAATCGGCCAGATCAATATTAGCTTATTGCAGATATATCAGTATTGTGCATATATCAACAGATTAATAACAAGAAATTGCAGTACAGAAAAGCCAAACTAGGTTTAAGACTGGATCAACATTACTTTTGTAATTGTACTAATTGTAAGATTTCCTTCTCCGTAGGTTAGAATTCTTTAAAAAAAAACATATCAAAGAGATCCCTGTCAAGTTTAAATTAAAAAAATGCAATTTTAACTCCAAAATATCTATCAGTATAATGGCTATGGTTTGGTTAAGTTTAGGCACAAAAAGGACTTGTTCGGGGTCAGGGATAAAATAACTACTTGGTTAGTGTTGGGAAACAGGGTCATGTTTAAAAGAAACCAATGTCGACTGGTAGGAAACGGGAAACAAACTGTAGTCTCCTGTGTCAAAGGACAACATTTAATTGACACATCTATCCACCACTGGGACTCTAAAACGCGCTACCTGCTGCCGACAGACAGGAGTTACGATCGTCCACTAGAGTGCTTTGTTACTTGGAAGCAAACATATGTTGTTTGGGGGAATTTGCAGAAATTTCTTTGGAGATGCACATCACATTGAAAGAATGGCTGAAGTGATTTTCCCACACAGAAGAACATTAGAAAGAAACACATAAAGTAACCAGTAGTGTTTCCTAATCAGAGCGCGATATAAGGTCAAAAATAACCTGAGTGAAAGTAGGTGTGGATTTACTAACTTGCTCAAGGGCATTTTGACAGTCGTTACTGAGAGAAAGGAGCCTGTTAATCATTCGCTGCATGCTCAAATGATCTCATCTGACCTTCAGCATCCCACCACCCCTACATGTCTGATGTCAACTCGCATCAACATGCTCATTCTGTCTTCAGCCGTACTGTACAAGAAAAACCTAGGGAGAAACTTTGAAGGAGTGTACAGTATCTATTACCTACTACTATGTGTTAAACAGGTTTGGATGCTTTTATACAAATCACCTGACAACAACAGGGAATGTTTTAGTGTGATGGATATTCAAACTAGGGATGTTCAGCAGTCCTGGGTTTCAAACTAGTCATTCTAACAACCGTACACTCAGCCGCTAACGCCAAATTACCCTACATGAACATAGTAATGTCTGCTGCTGTTCAGTGCTTTAGGACGGCAGTGTTTTGATGCCATGCAGCTCGAGGTAAAGTGAACATCCCTGTAGCAGACTAATCCCTTGTTCTCCTCTGATAGTTCCCTCCTGACACAGTAATATCCCTCCCCAGCTCAGCCAACAAGCCCTGGCTCTCAGCCTGAAAACAAGGGCTATTTTCAGGCTGAATAGTAGGAAGCCGGCAGCTCCAATACATGGAAAGGCTTAAATACTCCAAATGAAAAAAAAAAAAAAAAAAAAGAGAGCGTGTGTGTGTGTGTGTTTGTGAGAGTGAGAGAAAGGCCGGTTGTAACCCCTTAGCCAGGAAACTGTCAGTCTCTTTTGGAAGGACTGATAAACGCTGGGAAAGGCCTTTTCCAGGGACACATTATTGTCAGTTTAATGTGAGGAAAGGGTGTATTTTACTTTGACATCCTCGGATAACAGTAGGGGAAAATATCATTTGTAAAGTGTGTGACATGATGAATATCAGTGACTGCTCAGCAGTGGTTTCCCAACCTGGAGATCGGGGCCCCCAGAAAGAGGTTACAAAGTGAATCTGAAGGAATCATGAGTGGGTTTTTTTGGGTATAGAAAAATACCCCCTAGTGGGGTTTAAAAAAAGTCAAAATTCTGCTACAAAAAAACAATCATACTTTTTTCTATAATCTTTCACCTTGTGAGATATTGTATAGAAGCCTCTAAATTGTATCCAAATGAAGCAGTCTATTAAGGGAAAACACTTGTCAGCAGTTTAATCGATGAGAGGTAACAAGCAAAAAAGGTTGGAAACCGCTTCTTTACAGGACACAATAAAACCTCAATGAAACACTGAATCTGCTACTGACCCCTCAATCCTTTCTTCGGTCTTCTTGATGCTCTTTAAAACTGGCAATCTGGGTAAGCTCACAGGCTTAAAATGCAAGTTCAATAAACTTAATATCACCACTTTAAAACTAGTGAAATGATCAATGTAGTTTATGATGTTTTCATTATTACTGAAATGAAAGAAAACCTCAGAACAAGGTTAAATCCCTCATTAAGATGAAAAACGTCCGTAGCATTTAAAATAAAACCACATTGTTCTCTGGGAAAGTCAGCCAATTCCTGATTTAACAGACGCACAAGGATTTATGTGAAATAGTTTAGGTTTAGACCAGTGAGGCAATGCGAGTCATTTCAACAAACTAAACCATTCTTCAGAAGCAAAGCTGGGACTATTTAGACACAAACAACTTAACCTCTTCCATAAAACGCATTTTGTCAGCAAACAGAAAACAAGGCATGATCTTGTTTGCTAAGCGCTGACCATCTGAATCACCAGAATGAGGAATGAGCAGACACTAAATCTTTAGTGTGTAATTACAGATACTTGAATTATGTGTTTTCTCTTTCAGTGGCATTACAGTTGCTTTCGGTATGGAAAATCATTGTTATTGGAAAACAAAAACATCCACCCTGCTCCCTCTCTCCCTCTCTGTGTGTCTTTCTTCACTCAGTTATTATAAGCAGCGGAGGTGCCGTTCCCCGATTCGCGCGCCATTTCACAATTATGAGTCTCAACAGGGAGCGTTCATTAATGTTATGCTAATTTTCTGTATCCAATTAATTCTCCTCTCTCCCGCTCGCTCTTGTTCTCCCATTTGGAAATCGTAGCTGTCAGTCAACTGTGGCATCGGAAAAAAAACACAAACAAAACCCTGTGAAATAATCACTAATGTATTCAGCCGGCTTATACTTCCTATTCCGTAAATTATATTGCTGCGGTCAGGTAGAAAAACATGTATATGCAGAGAGTAAAGAAGAAATAAGTGCTTATTTTTTGTTGTGATGCCATGAAATTATACACTCAAACACCCGAGAGTCATAAAACGTGTTCAGCACATAAATAACAGCCTAAGCTTTCAATTCAGGTAATACAAAGAAAAATAGTTACATTTACATTCACTTAAGAATGAATATGAGAACGCAGAAAAGCACGTTTGGAAACTGAAACTTAAGTCAAACTTGAACATTCAAACGCTGAATCTACTTGTGAACATAAAATGTGCAGAGTAGGTAATGTAATCACACCAAGGGCCGTATAAAATATGACACAGGATGAATATTTTACATAATAAAAACATCTTTATGCTGTCTAGACACATTAGTATAAGAGGTCTAGTTAGACAATATGAGTAACATGAATTACTGCATTTAAAAATGGACAAGAATTGTTCCTCTGTGTGCATTAAAGTGTGAGGAGCTGAGAACAAACACAAGCAGAATGACAGTCATAGACATTGTCACACACACACACACGCACACACACACGCACACGCACACACACGCACGCGCACGCGCACGCACACGCACACACACACACACACACACACACACACACACACACACACAGACATGCTTACCCTGAGGTAGTTGAGGGTGAAGTTGGTCAAGCCCATGCGAGTGATGTTTTTGGACAGTTGTTCCAGCACCTGAGGGTCTTGTGCCTAAAGTCACCAGCAGAAAAATGAAAATGAAGAACAAATGCATATATAGGCAATGTACTGTACATCTATATTCTGTTATGTTTACATACAACTGACTATGAATAAACTAATTATCAACAGACAATTAGGCTAATTGGCATTCATCAGATATGCACAATCAACACATTCACACCCTCAAGTCATAAATGCAACTACTTAACACTGTTATTGCAATTGTGCCATGAAGCTGAATGTAAGCATTTTAGGCCTTCATTTCACGCTAATGTCAAACTGTGGGCTAATTAATCAATATTACTTTGTCATTTCATTTAAATTTTCCCACTTTTTCATATTTTTACTGGTGGTGATGATGTTGCTCAGTGTATGTACATAGGGTCTGGGTAGCAGGAAAGATTATTTTAATAAGTTGTTGGAAAACTGCAGGTGCAACCCACAGTTCCATTTTATATATTGTGCTTTTTGTTTTTGTAAATCATTAATGGCTACAGCACGATGTGGTCCAGCTGTATCATTCACACAAAAGATTAAGAACTGACCAACATCTTCACACGTGTCCTGAATAAACTGACTGTAAAATAGAAAATGCACTGCGATTATACAGCATATGTAGGAGTAGAGAATACATCTTAAATAGGAACAAAGCAACAAAAAAAAGCAAAGATATCAATTATAACATGACAACTGATTGAAAAAAAAATTCCATGAAGACACATGATTATTCACTAAGCTTGTTTAGCGCTCCGAGAATAAGCAGTCAAATCATGAAAAAGCTGTAGGTATTGACAGAGCAAAACATAGCCCAGACTGAGGAGGAGCAGCGAGCACGCTTGCATTCACCGCCTCATGAAAAATGCATAATTCTATCTCCAGTCGCATCTCTGTGTGGAGAAAGTCAAGAGGGAATCGAAGGAGTTCTTCTGTACCGTCAGCAGACCGACATGAGTGACGGGAGAATTGAATCAGTGTTCATTATTGGCAGATCATCAGAATTTACTCATCAAGTAGAATTAGTCTAAACGTACTGTACAGGAATTTGTCTTGGCAGCACTGGTGCAGCCATGTATCAACAATGTGTGGAGTAAATACGGGTGCATATGGTGCAGGGACAACACAGACTCTCAGTTCAAGAGGCCAAAGACAGATAAACAACAGAGTACCAACTCCACAAGAATGCATTCATAATTGCAGATGACTGGCAATGGTCCAAATCAGATGTTTAAACAGGGAACACATCTGCAGCACATGCATTAAACCTTTACCAAAATACAGTACTGAAGCATCATTTTGAGGTGCTTCACAGTGCCATTTCAGGTACCATTTTATGATACTTCTACTCCACCATATTCCAGAGGGAAATATTGCACTCTTTACATTTATTTGACAGCTGTAATTACTTTGTATATTTTAGATTTTACATACAAAAAATGTACTCAGTTCATACAATTTGACCCATTGTTAATGTGCCCAACTGTACATAATTTAGTTAAAATGACCTCCATCTTCAACCACAACAACAGTAAAATGCTGCTTCCACTAATGCATCAACACTACAAAAAATTTAGGCTATTGGTCATAACAAATACCTACTAATCTTTCTGATAATACCTCTTTAACTCAGTCTATTTCTACACTCTTGTATTGATACTTGAATAAAATATTTAGTTTTTGGACTTACTATTAAAACAATGCAGTGTATACAGTATACTGTATATAAAGTCAGTGTCTCTTTGTAGACTGTAGATTGTATTACTGCTGCTGTTTACCAGCTGTTGCATCTCTGCCATGTTGCATTATTTGTTGTATTGTTTGTAAATGTTTTATTGTCCTAAATTTAAATTTATCTGTATGTATACTGTTTGAATTATACTCTCCTTCTCTACCTTATGTCTGTATAATGTATACTGTATGTGTGGGTGGGAGGGGGTGTAGCAGATGTTTGGGGGGGAAACATAGGCTGCATCACTTGCACAGCCTCCATAGCATTTTATATTGTTTTATTTTCTTTGTGTGTTTTTACCATTCCTTGAACAAAGAAATTAAGTTTTTTGCAGTGGTTTAAAGTAGGACTCTGCTCAGTTACTCAGATATTTGTCTTTTATTTAGTGATTTTCATTGTATTGCTCTTCTACTCCTATTGTATTTGTATCTTATGTCATCATATGGGGTAATTTTGTACTTTGCAAATCAAGGTTTCAGAAACATATGATTAGTTCATGAAATATTATAATATATTATAATTATTAAACTCAATAGTTTCTTAAAGATTAATCCAACAGTATATAAAAAATCCAACTGAGATTCAACAAAGCCTCAACCACTTACAACATTAAATTGCTGTTTTGATCACTAATAATAGCTTTGTAATATAATAAAACACTATGGATGGGGCCATTTGGCATGATGACTACTTTTAACAATTATGAATGTAGAACTTCTACTCTTAATTGAGTAATATTAAAATGCAGCATTGTTACAGATCTGAATACTTGTGCTTTTTTTTGGATAATAAAGTTAAACCTAAACTTGAAACAGGTAGGACATGAACAACAGGTTTCTGAAGGGACTTAATGAAGGTTTACTGCTGTTGCCATCTTGATCTAAAATCCATCGTGAGACAAACTTAAGAATAAGTAAAAAAAAAACAACAAAAAAACAATTGAGACCCAAATGTCTAAATGAAAAACTCTTTTTAAATCTATTTTGTTACTGACTTCAATACAGATGAGTTTCTGAAGTCAGCATCTAGTGGGCTTCACAGGAACTGCAGAGCTTCATCACTCAGCTGTGATGGTTTTGCACACTTTCACAAAGCTGCATTGACAGTTGTATTATAGTTACTTTCGTTATGATGCTGAACTGTACATGCATCACACGTGTTGAACAGAGACATTATTTAAATACCACTTTTTTTTGAGAATTTATGAAAAGCTACTTAATTTCACATAAATTGCTTTTATGTATGTAAAAGATGTTTAAATCTAAAGAATGGAATAAAATAATTGAGTAAGTAAGTATTTCCACTGTGTTGGCGTACTTATTCCTGTGCTTCTACTTAAGTCAAATATTTTTTGATACTGAACACACACCTCTAGTATCTATCAGTAATGGCCAATACCAATTACAGGCAGTTGCTTTATAAACTTTTGAAAACTAAAATCCGAACAAACTTTATTCCTTTTCCCAACAGTTCCTCATGAGCGACTGCAAAAGTAGTTCAGCTCACATCAAAAAGTGGGCCCTCCACAGTGGCTACATCTGTACTGGTATCTGCAGTTTCAACTTTCCTATTCTCACTCCCATGTGTCTGTATCTGCTTTCATTAGTCCAGGCAACGATCAAAAGAGTGAACTCACATTCGCACACAAATCACTGAAGATCTGGCCAGGACCCACAATACCCCACCATATCCCACTCTCCAGGAATTAGTGTGAATACCCAGAGGGGCCAATTTATTGGTGGGTGAAATTCATATGAAGATTTAGCCAAAAAAGATGCTGGCTACACAGGCGAAGCTGCCTTTTACACACACCTTTAGGTCGATGGGGGTAAATGGAAAATACTGAGAATGAACCTCATTTTCTTTAGCAAGCAAGTGGGAGGAGCTGCATGCATATGGGAAAAAACCCTATAAGAGCACTAGCAATTGTTGTTGTTTCAGTTTGTCATTTTCTTACCAAAGCCCTTTTCAGACATGCATAGTGTTGCTGGCTTCAACTATCTGTTAAAGTGATTGCTTTTTGTCATTTAGACATCTAGGTGACTTGTATGTAAATGTTCCCTACAGCTTTACGTGAGAGGAGGCGCCATCGCTGTATAGAACAGCTGTGAGTTGAAAAGTTTAATGATATGAAGGAAGAAAGGTGTTTTCTGTGCTCTCACAGGCTGCATCACGGATGGATTTTAAAACTTATCATGCTGTTGAAGTCTTAATTAATAACCACCATGAGGGCAATGGACGCTCGCCTCCTCTTCTCTTCTAGTAAAATCTCCTTATAAATCATCACTCATCTATTTCATCTTTTATTAGATTGGGGATTCTACTGCCTGTTTCATAAAGTCAGACATTACAATGTGAGCTTCTATTTGCTCACAAGCTGTATGCAAAGCATTTTGCTGGATATTCTTTAAGGTTTAAGTTGAAAGTTGAAAAAGGAGGGAGACAGCTGGTCTAATTATTGTCACTGTACAATATTTGAGCAGTGACTTGTGTCCCGTTTGCGCCATGAGGGAAAGAAAAAATTCTAAACTTATCTGACATGAGAAGAATCTCCCTGACAGTGTAAAGTCAGCTCTTTCAAAGTAGTTCGTAGCTTATTTAACTGATTTTATTTTATTTGAGCATGGGAGATGATATTTGGGAAAATTATCACAGAGATCTTAATCAAGCAAACAAGACATACATTTAACTTCTCTTTGTGTATTTAACCTTGTTTTGTTGTACTCTTTATCTTAATCTAACGGCAAGTGTTGGAAATGTTAGTAAGTCCAACCTGGTTAGATCGTATCATGACTTATGACTCAGATGATTCAGACAACATGTAAAATTGACATAACATTTACACAAAGAGCATGTCTGGAAGTGGCTAAAGAGAGCTTTGTAACCTTTAGGACCTTTGAGCAAAAAACTAACACTATTAGCATTGGGAATATACACTCAGTTGCCAGTTTATTAGGTACACCTAGCTAAAATTAATGCCCTGTAATAAATTGCACTGCAAAAAAACTGGGAAAAAAATTCATTAAGGTTAAGATGTTCAGTTCTTGTTGAAACAGTTTTAGAGAGGTGTTGAATTAACTTTAGGGTCATTGTGAGGCTGCAGTTTAACTAGGTATGTTTTAGTGCATGCCTAATTTGGTTTCCTTTATTTCTAAAAAGAAAAGTGTGTTGTTTTCCCCGAGCAGCAGTGCTGTATCATAGAGTTTGAGTTCAAAATCATTTGAAAATAGAAGACCTTCTGCTAGCTCCAGCTACACTCCACAACTCCAGTGACTAAATGTATGTTACACTTAGTGGAATTAAGCAGATTATTCATTCGACCTTGTTTTTTTTCCTCTCTCCCTTTCCAGACAAGGGCCCTTTTTTATCCTCTGTGGCCTTTGATGTCTGCAAATAAATTGGTTTGCAGAAATCTCTCCAAACTGCTTTGTTGGCGTTTACATTTCATATGCTCGTGAATAGCTTCTAAAAAGTGTCTTGGCAGAGTGCAGAGACCCTCGTTAGGATTCAAAAAGTGACACCTAAAATGGGTGGATCGGGGGGGGGTTTCGTCGCATGTTAATGATGTCACACTCACGTGCATGGCCAGGATGCTGCGAGGGATGAGCTCTCGGTACTGCCGGATGGTAAAGTGCCACGTCTTGATCCTCATCAGATCATCAAAGGCAAACTCCAGTATCAAACGACCCTCTGTACAAACCTGGACAAAGATCACATAGTTAGTGTTACTTTACATTCCTCCTCAGCCTGATATCTCTCTCAGTAATCCTTAACCGGCTGGCAGGCGGCCGTCAGCTGATTTGGACGCAGACAAAACAGAAATCAGTGTTTATTGGCCAGGCGTGATTTTGATAAAAAACGCTGGAAGGGTTTCGTCTCCGTTTTGGAATTTGTTCAAGGATTTTGTAGCATGGAGCGAGCTATTATGCTCACAATATTTACTCTGCTCGCTTCCCTCATTCAGAGCATCTGTCCTTGGGCCTCTCAACCATCCAGCTATTTCTAAAATGTGAAAATAAATGTAATCTGGAGAGGGGTGTGTTTACACCGGAGACAAAAGAACTTCAGGTCAGAGAGAGTTGCCAATTAGGAGAGAGAGAGATGGAAAGAGAGAGGGAGGAAGACAGAGAGAGAAACAGTGTGGGGAAAAAAAAACATTTTTTCGCCCCTTTAGCTGAATTCAGCGCTTGCCGGGGCCCTTGCGCTTCTCCCGTATTTCGTTGCTGTGACAACCAGGGAGAGAGAGGAGAGAGAGAGAGAAATGGAGAGACAGACAGAGAGAGAGGGGAAAAAAAATCAGCTGATTAGTTGGCATGGCAACGGCAAAGATGTAATCCCACCAGACACACTCTAATCAATGCCCCCAGCGCAGATGGTCTCCTGAGGATCAGCAAGAAAGAGGCTAGCGGCCATACTGCATCCCCCCCCCACCACCACCACCACCACAACGCCCCCTCCTCACCCTCATTCCCCACTTCCCACCCACCCACCTACCCTTGCCGGTCACATGCTCCATCGCTAACTCCAACACACTCAGTCAAAAAAAAAGAATAAATAGAAGCTCGACTGCTCCAAAAACCCCTGAATGCGGAGCTGCTTCTCTCCTGTCTTGACTGAAAATGTGGATACTGTATAATGTTCTCACTCTTTGTGCAACGGTGCGTTTCCTGAGTTATTCAACCGAGATTACAATGAGCACATACAGAGAGAGTTTTGTTCCATAATGAAACAATGTCTCATATTTGGTAAAAAAAAAAAAAAAGGTGACACCTACTATTAAAAATGCATGATTAGAACAAATAAGGAACTAAAGCAACTTTTGAAAGACAGGAGCTGCACATTTATGTTCGACAGGACTACTGCATACGGACGACAATACTGCTGGACCACCTTTACACACACTTTACAATAATACTCCTGAACCTTGTCCTTGATTACATATCTCTATTATTGTTATTACTGTAAAAATAATATACCAGAGTACCAGTAACATATCTAACAATTACTACTGCATTTCTACTTTATTATTATAACTGTCTGTTTATATCACAGTATATGCTGTATGATAGCATTCATCTCCATTTCCATTATCTATCTATATCTATATCTATAGATATAGATATATATATAATCGTATTGCATATTGCACATACTGCAGATATGTAAAAGCTATATACTTTAATACATTATTATACTGTACATGCTATTTATCATTGATGCTTACACCCATATGGCTGCAAGAGTTGTTCTTATCCACAAATATCTTCATATTTTAGATGTGATGATTTTATATAGTCTAGAGGATTATATTGTATATATTGCATACATAGTTTTAATGTCATCTTATTTCTTCATGAATTTAATTTCTTATTTTATTTTTACTTATTTCACTCAAATAGTTTTTTATTTTTATCTCTTGGTCTGTCTCTGTGCTGCTGTAACATGTGAATTTCCACCCAAGGGTCAATAAAGTCTCGCCTTTTTGTATATGACTTAATGGAAACTTTGGGGTATAATATTTGTTCTTCTTTCATTTTGAAAATTAACACTTCTATCCAATGACTGACACAATCCAGTGCTGATACAGTGGTTTTACGTGCAAACACGTCTGGGATCTGCATGGTTGGATAATGGGCTTGTCTGAGCTAGATAAGTGTGGATTAGACTAAAGCAATGTTTGGAAATAATCCTTGCTGTTTAATGGACAATGAAAATGGCCTTCATTTTACTTTTTTATTTAGTCTAATTCCAACAGCAGTTTGTCCAACAGCTGACCTCAGAGTTCAGAGTGAAAGAAAGGATGCAAAATGACTTTTAACACACCAAAATTTAAAACACCTTTTCAAGAACTGAAACTGTAGGTGCAAACGATTGCTGTCCATATATCTCCAAATTTGGTGACTTTTCTTTTTGTATAAAAAAATTAAAAAAAAAAATTAAATGAAAAAAAATCTGTCACAAAGCTGAAAATGGGCTACTTTTCTTTTAGAGATACATAGTTTTCACAGGACAGCTTTAAAAAAAGTTGATTTTTTAGTTAGTTTAGTCTTACAGAAAAAAATGAAAACCACATGTATGAATTATTTTGCAAAATAAAGTACACTGAAGATTAACAACAAGAAACCATATTTAGAAATGCATATATGCATATTATTTAAGTTGAGACTCATCCTTACTTCACCCCCAGGTTCTCCTGTTGAATTATAAGAAGGAATGTTGTAATTAATCCACTAGTACACAAATTGCTGTTGAAAGTAAAAAAAAAACCAAACAACTGACACTTTGGTGTTGTTCTTTTCCTCCTTTGAAATGAAATGCATCATGGTTATTGTGTGTGGATGAGTTTCATGCCCTTTGGGCTGCTGAAACCTATTAAAAGACCAAATACTTTGGCATGTATGAGGGAATTAGTAGTTCTTTACATCCTTCCTGAAAGTGTACTTTTTGGAGATTTATGGTTTTACCCACCAGCAGTGAAATAAGTTGAATTGTGTTTACTAGTGAGCCAGTGTCTTCTGATGCTTTCCAGGTGCTATAGCCTACAGTGAAATAACGCTGCACTATTGATTTCTTTTTCCATAGTGCCAACTGTGTATTTAGCATTGCCTCCTCTATTGCTCTTATTTCTCTGTGCAAGCTTTCTGCTTCTCTGTAAATGATAAATTAATTGGCAAACCAGCTAAATCAGAGCCAGAATAAGAATCGCTTTAATTGCCATGTGCAATAAATGTGCAGGAATTTGTCTTAGTGGCACTGGCACAGAGATATATTAACCACAATGCAACCAATGCAGCCATTTCCCACAGATTCCAGTGTAGATTCAATCATACAAAGCTATTTATTTTCTCCATACTGAGAGAGAATTGGTTAAAATCTAATATTTCTAACAATGGCCGTAACCATTTTTTTTTTTTTTTTTTTTTTTTTAGCTAAATGTGTTCCCTTATGAAAACTAAATGGAGGAAAATCCCCTTGAATTAAAAGTGGTCCATTAAATGGTACAGCCCTTCACAGAGAGTCCCCATTGATTTAAGAGGAGGGTCATAAATCTTCCACACAACGGGGCTGAGATCAGGGGATCTCCGCCTCAAAAGAGTAAGAAAGAATAACAGCGTCCTGCTGCTGAGACACTATTCAATACTGTAACCCTAACATGACAATCAATTAACAACAGAGGAGCTGAAGGTCGTTACATCGATTATTATGAGCATTCATTGGGAATATTAATACAACCCACGTTGACTGAATATACTCAATTATAGCAACAAGCTGCTGACATTCTTTATAATACTGTCACTCAACATGACCTTCTGTATAAGTATAGGAGTTTGTATAATAAGAGTTTCAGAATATTAAAGTTATAGCATGTAGCATTGTTATTTATGGTTAATGTCAACTGACAAAAATTTAAATAAACAATTCTAATAATCAATTCATTGGTATTTAAGGAAAATTATTATTTAAGGTTTTAAGTTCTATCATAGTTACCTGAACATCTGTGAGCTAGGCTGTCAGTTGGACAAAAGAAGTAATCTGAATATATCAACCTTGGCTCTGGGAACTTGTTCAGGGTGTTTTTGTGTATTTTCTGAAATTTTATCTCTTACCAATTAATTGATACTGAAAAGTTAGTTGCAGCCTTGGTTGAGTTAAAGCAAATAGTTTAGGAGGACTATGGCTGCAAGGTATTGAAAATGTTCCCTCAACATGACAATCAACTTACAACTAAGGAGCTAATTTAACAGCTCTAATATATGTAATAAAAATATGTTTTATATATGTTTTATAAATATGTTATGTTGTTTTTATAAATATGGATTGTATGTTTCAAACTGATGAATAGTATATCATTTAGTCTCAGTGGCCGTGCTATTAAAAAGTGTGAGTCATCCCTTCTCTCTCTCTCTCTTCCCATGTTTCCTGAATGTCTCTGCTGTCTTCTGTAAATAAAGGTTGAAATGTCAAAACATCTACACCAGACATGTGAATATGCAAATTGAATTAAAAGTGGAGGACTCCTGCACACGGTCTGTACAAAAAATCAATTAAAACGAAATCCAGAGAAGACAAAAAATAGGGAAAAGGCAACACAAAATACAAATAATTGATCAATTAAGAAAGGAGATGGAGAATGTTAGTCAGACCTCAGTCTAGGTCTCTTCTCATAACATAATCATAACAATGCCCATAAAAAGTATGGATAAAATAATGTTAAGCTCTGCTGTACTTTAAGTTATAGAGGATTGTGTTAATGCACAGTATTAAAAGGATGTCAGCAGTTTGTTGTTATTGTTGAGCCTGTCATAGTTAACTTTGATCCCATTTGTATTAACCAGAAGGAGTAATGAATGCTGTACATCTCATAAAAATCACATTAGAAACCTTTAGCTCCCCTGTTGACTGTCATGAAAGGTACAGGATTGAATCGGTTCTATTATGTTAACATACCTTACGATAAGGGTTGACTACTGACATTTAAAAAAGTACTATAAAGGTAGATTACTGCAATGATAATGTAAATATAATTTTGTGTCTACCATTGTAACACAATTATGGTAGAGTGTCAACTCAAACATGCCTGATATTTGAAGAAACTATTCTATCAAGCAAAGCTCAGAAAAACACACAGTTGACAACACTTCCACTAGTCAATTTCTTAAAAAAAAGAAAAAAAAAGGAAAAAAAAAAAAGAATCCACTCAGGGAATTAAAGTCACTTGAGCTGAGATCACCATGTTATGAACTCGCCTTTTGCTCTTTGCTCGCCTCCCAGCATGCAGAAACCCCCAACTGGGCACCGGTAACAAGGGCCGTGCCCTAAGAACTAGCACATACTGGCCAGGGAAAGCAAAGCCTGCTGGGAAGTGAATAGAGGTGCTGGGATATTGGGGGCGGTGGGGAGGTTGGGGGCCTTTGGTCAAATTGGCACCCTGTGTCACCTTGTCAACACCTTGCTGCCCTGTGAACCCGCACACATTGTTCACCAGCACCTGGGTAGCACCACCCACTCTTAGCACCCTGCTAACCCCACCCATTCGTTAGTCTGTAGATGAGAGACAGGGAGAGCACGAGCACATGAGACTGTGCTGAGCTCCTGTTTAATATTTTACTTTACCATTTTTCTTCTGTGGTGCACTGACGTGTCAAACTACATGCTATATATAATGATTGGCCCTTTTCATTATACCTGCTTTACCAATACTGTGCTTAAAAGATCATTGTGGCATCTGGTTTCTATTGCTCTGAAAATGTGGTACAATTAAGTCAGACAGGTCCTTTTTTGATGTACATGAAAACATAAATATAATGCAAATGTGTCCAAAGACATTATTTAAAAGAAAAGTACAATTGAAAAATTAAAATGAACAAATCTTAAGGCTTCCTTGGCCCATCCTCAAGGCTCTCACTTTGGGAACAACTGGTAGATCATTTGGTTAAACTGTGGTCTTGTTTACTGTAAACCTTAAAAAAAAATAAATAAATAAAAAATACCTGTTAAATACGCGGTTATGCTGCAGCTGAGATTGGTGACATGACAGCTTATGCTTGCCGGTTTTCATAGTAACGCTGAATGCTTTCTGGAACATGGCACACAGCAAGTGATGGGAAGAGGCTGATACGTGAGGGAAAAATCTATATGAAGGGGAGCCCTGTTTAGCAACCTGTATCTGATTCTAAACCACGTTATTTGGGGTTAAATCCAAAGGTTTTCACACCTAGAATGTTGGTAATAATGCCTCATTGCACAGGAAAAACGTGCATGCACAACTATGGCAGGAACAGCAGCAGCAGACACTGTTGAACCAGCCTGTGAACTGTTATGATGACAGTTACAGTAATAGTTTTACCATTCCCATTAGTTTTGGATTTAAAAAATTACTGTATGGCTTAAATTATGGGGAAATGGAAATGTAAGCTTACCATCCTGGTTGAATTTGTACTGTGTGCAGTTTTTATAGATTAATTATTTTTGGATATATGACTTTACTGATGATTATTACCTGTATAGTTATTAAAAGTGTTGGTTTTGTTGATAGTATAAACTCTTCATCAAGGACCATAATGGCAGTTAGTCGTTGCTTGTATCTTTTGTGTTGTTGTGTGTCTGTCTCATAAAGTCAGATAAATCAGTCATATAAAGTATGAACATCTGACTGCTGGTGATTCTTGCCCTGCATGATGTCTTTTTGGCATCCCAGATCTCAGCAATTAACTTTGTGACTACAGTGCTGTTATTACTGACAGGAACGATGGCTTAAACTACAAAAATAAGACTGTGATTGTAATAAAAGTTGTTCTTTAAAAATGGCTATGCCAATAGACCAAATCTGAATTTGAAAATTTTTAAAGAGAAAGAGGGATAGAGGGAGACAGACGAGCAAAGAAAGAGACAGATACAGGCAGAAACAGAGAGAGAGGAAGAGAGAGAGAGAGAGAGAGAGAGAAAGAGAGAGAGAGAGAGAGCGAGAGTGGGAGAGCAAGAGAGCGAGTTGGGAGCTGGGGATGATTTCTCTAGGGATGAAGGATGCGCGTGTGTGTGTGTATGTGTGTGTGTTGAGGGTGCAGGGGGGCGGGGGGGAGTTGAGAAGAAGAAGAGGGGGGGATGAGAGAGCGGTGGAGTAGAGAGCGAGGGGAGAATGAGCGAGCGAGCGAGCGAGCGAGTCAGGCAGGGGGGATGAGAGAGAAGAAGAGGAGGGGGGAGAGGTGGAGGAGGAAGGGGGGAGGAGGTGGTGGTTGAGGAAAGCGAGGCGAGGCAGAGCTGATTGAGATTCGGGCCTCCAGAGCTGCAGGCTCGCTGCTGCTGCTGGGAGCTCAGGGAGAACACGCTCAGTTATTGGAATTCTTTTTTTTTTCTAATGAATTAATTCTTCTCATCCAATTTAGGTGAAGATGAAAAGAGAGCAGCGCTGCGAGCATCAAATTTAGCTTTTTGTTGACCGGGCCTGGGCCGTTCTGTTTCTGTTCTGTACGGCTAATATCGGACACTGCTAATATATTATGGGTTTTTTGTTCCTTTTAGGGAGCCTTGTTTACAAAAAACCAAACAACAGCAACATAAAAGGACATTTCCTGTGTGTGTTATTGGGGATGTTTCATACTCATTTACTGATATGACAACACAAAGAGCTCCCCCCAACCACCAACACTCATTCAGACACACACACACACACACACACACACACACACACACATAAACATGTCCAACCCTTCACCACCCAGCAACCACTACATGAATACAAAATCATCTCCCTTCCGAATGTACAGAAAAAGTGATACGACCTCATGAAGCCCCTTGACACAAAACCACATGCATGCAGTCATGCATGTAAATATACACGAACAAACACTCACACAGACACTGGAACACAGGTAAACACCTGTCACGTCTGAAACCTTGGTACGATTTGACTTTGGTATACTAAATAAAAGGTCCTGCACTACACTACTCAAAAAGTTCTTCATGTGGAAAGGATGGCCAAAACTGTATCCGTATGTAAAGTATGTGCAGTATTTTACATGTTTCTTGACTGTGTGGATGTTGCGCTTCCAAACTACAGAATGTATGTTCATATGAAAAATAGAAACATATTTTTTTATTCATAAACTGATTTATTATTAAGACTCCAAACTCTTTTTGCAGATACTGTTCATTCACACAAATATGTCATTAAGTTCTAAAATATCAATATTGATATTGGCATTAAAAAATGAATAATAAGGCCTCTTATTAATAAATTAACTGTATTTATTTCATTCATTCATATCACTCTGATTCTGTTTCCATGTTGTGAAGAATTTGCTGAAAAAGAAATTCAACATTTAGAAATAAGAAGAACAAGAAATTATTGAATCAATTTCTTTTGAATTGAAAACTAGTAAAATAATCTCCACCTACTGGCACATTTTGTTCATTTTTTCTGAAAATAAGTTTTAGATCTCAATAACAGACTAAATAACTTACTAAAATGGTGATTTTTTAATTTTTTTTGCAGTGATGCTTTTTTTAAAATGTACTTTTTAGTCTCACAGCCTGTGGCAGGTCAGCCAAAAAGTTAATTTCAGACTCTACACACACGCTTACACACACACAGACACACAAGAGTGGGTGCATACTGTCAAGTCCTGAAAACAAGCTGTTTAATGTCAGAACAATCCGGTCTGGTGCTGTAGCTCAGGGTTCATGGTACAGGGAACATGGAATCCCTTTAGCTCGCCTGCTCGGCACTGACAAGGTATCTGGCCTCAGATTCATTTAGACAGTCAGCAGAAGACCACTAAGAGTCAGCTAGCCATCTGGATCAGACTGTGGTGAAGCAGATATTCACTCTGGCTCACAGGGGGATTCTCTCCCCAAAGACAAAAGCAGATGAGCTCAGCTTCAGTGCTTTCAGAAGACCCGTGTGTCAGGTTTGGATTATCTCACCTGCGCAATTTGTTTCCTCTGCTCTTCTTTGCTTCTTCTGTCTGTGCCTCACATATACAGCAAACTGCACCATACTCTTTAAAGATCTTATTCATGTCTCCCTAGAACTGCCTTTGGAGTACCCGAGGGGTTAAGAGTCTGTCGACATCTTTAACATAAGAAATGCCAGTGGATTTTGGGGGTCTATGAGGAGGCCAAAATGCTGATAAGAGGGTTAATATGACTGTGGGTGACATTTTTCTGCATGAATTTTAAAGTCCAAACACTGGCTAGTGCATTTTAGAGATATTTTGATGTTAGAATTCAACATACAGTTACAGTCGATATATCATTGCAATTAGGCTTTTTTCATAGTTGTTCAAGTCTGTCCCAAAACAATAGCTTTTAAACCGGTTTTGCCTGCTTTAATCATTCCCCCTGTCCATACTGGCTGTGAAGATATAACTCAGTGCTCTTTCAGTGTAAGTGACTGCACATTTGGTGCCCCATCACTTACATTGGAAGCACAATAGGACGGGATCCCTGAGCAGCCAGTATGAATAGGAGGAATGATCACATCGACCAATTTCAATCTTCACACCTGGCTTGAAATATTGTGAACCTAGCCTTTTAGACATTATACAATAAGTGCTAATTTGTAGATAGTTTATGGATGCTGTTGCTCTCCCAATCAGCAACTTAACGTTATATGTAAGCATACCCTAACAAATTAAAAAATGCATGGAGTCTAGAGGACAGAATTACTCAGCTTACTCTGGAAAAAGGAAATAACTTCTGTTGTTATTGTAGAATGGGGACAAAATCAATTGATCATATAATACATTAGATATAATTGACTAACTCAAAAAGTGTGTTTACTCTTTTAAGCTAAAATTTCCTTCAGAAATAAGGGATTTAAGAAAAACATCTAGCAACTTAGCAGATAATAATTTTATATTTCTCGCAGTAAATAGAAAAAAGACCTTCCCATATTTGACAGTCCAAAGGCCACCACGTGTGATAACAATATAACAGAACGAAACAGGGAGGAAAAAAGAATCAAAGGGTGTAAATGGATTTGATCTTTAACCAGTTAAACACCTCGCCAGGTCCATTATCATAGCTTGTGATCAATTATTCATGGTGGGAGAAGCTCAGGGGTCAGGTGTTACCTTTGTAAACATTGGCTTCCCGTGCTGGGTGACCATGGTGCACTGATCACAGTCCAGGGTGATGCAGGAGTTGTGGAAGGACTCCTTGGAGTGTTTGAGGATGTAGTGGAGCTCGGTGACCCCTCCCTCAAACACCGTGCTGAAATAACGGGGGATCAACGTCCGGCCGATCGCTGCAGGGAGACAAAAGAGAGGGCACAGCTGCTAAATATAGAAGGAAACCAAAGGTGAAAAGATCTGGAGAGAAGAGGGCTGACATAAGCAAGAACATGGTGCATTATTACATACTGCCACTAATACAGTCTCACTAATAGACTAGAATGGCGATGATACTACCAGTAATAGGTTTATTACTACTATTACTACAGTGTTTACTGTACATTTTAAAGCCACTATTGGTGTTACTGAAACTATTACTACTATATATGTTAGCTATATATATATATATATATATATATATATATATATATAGATAATATAAAATATATATTTTGGTTTGGATTAAACAAATGAGATACAATGTGTTAAGTGGTGAGCTTAAGAGGGGCTGACAGGCAACGTTTTGAACTTGACAGAGCAAGGCAAACTGTTCCGTGCTAAGCTGAGCTAATCACCTCCTGTCTCTAGCTTAATAATAATTATAATTTCAATGTCTACTGCAATGGCACCACCTGCTTACTTACTGTTTAAAACCTGTTTGTACCTGTACGCCCCACATTATATAAATTTATTTTAGTTCCTCTTCATAAGCTGTTTATCCATCACAGTTTATATATGTATATACATACCTATCTACACACTGCTGTCATTATGTATAGTATATACATGCTGCATTACTGTTGAACCAGTTTACATTACAGTTATATTACATGTAGTATACATTTTTTACTTTATATTTTAGCTGCTACAGTATTTTATGTCTGACATTCTAATTAAATTTTGCTCCACTTTTTTCTTTAATATTTTATTATTTTTATATATCTTTAAGATCACAGTTGGTGGGCGCCTGAGATCTAAGAATTTCATTGCCAACAACTTGCGTCACTGTAATTGGTGTGTACATGACAAAAAAACCTTGAACTTAATACTTGCAGACAATGATGCAGACATGATAGTGCTATCAATCTTCTCATCTAAAGGAGGTAAAACAAATTTAATGACTAACCATGACTTTAATTTCAGGAATATGAATATATTTATCTACAAAAAAGTTAAATGTTAAATGTCTAAAACCAGCAGTCAAGAACTTCAACTGAGTAGTTGTAAAACTGTTACTAATAGTAATAATAGTAATTGTAGTTTTTAGTGCTAATGTAACTGTTACTGTGTTTATTAAATAACAGAGGCACATATAATGGACAGAATATATAGTAGATATTCTGGACATTCAAAAAATATATACACAAAAATATTAAAATAAACAAAAAAAATTAAAGAGAACACAATCCCAAATGAGAAAAGTGGTATTTAGTTTATGTGGTAAGAAAAGCTTAATAGCAAGGAAACGGCTTGATAAGGACATCTGCTGTAGATTCATTAATCAAGATAAACATTTTATTGGCTGTCAAAAGCTCCTTGGAGGAGGAAAAACTGATCAGATGTTCAAATGAATGAAAGTGATTAAATATTTGAGAGCAAAGATGTTCTGCTTTTCCTACCTGACCCCTTTTCTATTGTAAAAATAATCAGGACGACATAATTCTAGGAAGACGGAAAAGACTGTTAAGTCTGCTGTTTATTGATTTAACTTCTGTACTCATTACAGCTGTTGCTTGTAATTCTGCCAATTCCCTTAGTTTTTTTGTTTTTACCTTGGTGAACTCCCTGTTTATCTTTAAGAATATCTACTAAATCCTTGAAACATATGAAAAATGTTCATATTCAAACATACAGAGCAGGCATTCATTCATATTCTTCCCTGATCCCGTCTCATTAAAAGCTGAAAAGCCTTATAATTGGACTTTACAATACATGCATAACAATAATCCCACACAAATCATTACCAATATAGTAGTGTTATAGTAATCATTACAAATCTGAATTAACTTGCTGCTACATATATGCTATTGAACAGCAGCCGTATTGCTAGTTGTGGTCAATTTATGAATCAAAATTCTAAATGCAACAAAACTACTGGATTCTGCTGAAACCTATTGATTCACCAAACACTGGGCAGCCTTCAGGAAACCTGTTCGCCATCCAAGTAATACTCAAATCTTTTATTCTTAGATTGAGTCTGATTTCCCCCTGAAACAAGTGTCAAATTAATCTCCCAGTGCAGAGAGGTAAATTCAACTCTTTCCAACACATCTGAAGATTAAAGGTTTTCTTGAAACAACTGACAATATCATGAATTGGGGGCTCTCAATCCACTTCTTCCAAGATATGACACCTCATATAATACACTCAGTTTTGAATATTCCTCATATGAGTAAGGCTGCACAGGGAAGAGGAGAGTATTTTCATATATATTTCAGAATAATATGATTCCATGACTAAGTTTGGTATTAAACAGAATTATTAAGATGGACAACTTCTGCAGCGCAAAGTTTTTGCAGAAGCCTAAAGAGACAATGAACATGCTGCATGATGAAAACTAGAGGAGGAGTCAGGGAGGGAGAAAGTGTCTTCAGTGTTTTATAGCCCTCAGGCTTCGTCTGGTTTCTATCTCCTCGGTGTTAGCTGGCTTCAAGGAGAAGAATGGATGATACGGAGAGAGAGAGGCTTACATTTCCCATTACATTATAGATGCACAGTGATGGCATGCAAGATACAGATTCCTCAATACTTGGATGTATTTTATATTATGAAATCATGTTCTAAAAATGTCTTTCCTTCTCAGCTTTTAACTTTGGATTATGAAAATATTAACAGTATATTTTGTTAATAGCCATTGGTTAATTTGGCAAAAATAAAAAATAAATCTCACACAAGAGCTTCCTTATCATTTCTTTGACAAAACAAAACACTGTCTTTAGCAACACCATCGCACCAAAACTTCTGCTTTCAGCTCAAGGGGTTCTTTTGTCTCAGAGCTTCTCTACCTCTGCAACATCGGTATAAATCCTACTCTACCTCCCCGCTAAGAACCTGAAATCCTGCTACACGTCTTCTCTCCACCAGACCAGAGTGCAGGCAGTCCAGCTTTTTATACATTAGAGCTCCTTTTATCATTAGACTTGTATGATATTGACAAAAATCAACTTCAGATGATCACATAACTAAATTATAGGCTCTCTTTAGTCACTTCTCTAAAAACGTAGACACTTTTTAACGAAAAGGTTGCAACTAATGATAATTTCTATTCTGAATTAATCTATAGTTTATTTTGATCTCAAATGTTCGAAAACTGTTGATTTGGTTCCTAGGTGCCATCTCCGAATGTCTTGTTTTGCCCACCAAACAGTCAAAAACCAAAAAGATATTGCATTTTCTATTATCGAAGATTAAGAAAACTATGTGTAAGAATTAGTGGCATAGCACTTGCAGATCGCAACTCCCTCACTTCATCCTCCCCTTCCAAGCACAAAGGAGATAGTGTGGTTGCTATGAAAGGCGCGGAAAACGCGAACATTACAATGGATTACAATGGATATTAGATTCAATTTCTTCCAACAGATCCTCCTAAATGTTAGACACTGAACCTTTAACAATGATCAAAATCGAAAATTAGTCTTCCATTGAAAAAATCGATAATGATAATGGCTTGACTTGTTAAGAAGGACATTTTGCAGTTCAGGTGCTGCTTTATTTCAAAATTATCTGAGGCGAAAGTATAAAAAGGGGCACAGGATTTACTCAGAATATTAAGCAAGATACTCTTCAATGCACAACTTAATATGTAGATCAGGGATTCTACACAGCACCAATCGAGAGAAGCTGCGTCAAACAGCTTTGGCAAAAATTGTAGCCTCTTCTGGTAACTGCAGAGCTCAATTGTGCCGTTTCTGCTACTTGTTGAGCAGTCGTGCAGACCCAATTTGCAGAACGACCCATACCATCTACAACAACATCTTAGCAGCACATTCCTCCTTAAAGTCTTTATTTTTTCCGCTATAGTGTTTCTGCTGAACACTGACTCATTTTCAGCACCGTCCTGCTTCACACTCCTGCACACATACATGCCTGAGAGCTGCACTCCAACCACAGGCTTCATCCAAACATCACTGGGCAGTTCCACTTGAGCAACTTGACTTGCTCAAGGGCAGGGCCAGTTACTGAAGTGCTACTCATTCACTGCTCAGGGGATCTAAACCAGCAACTGTTTGGTCCTAAATTGACATTTGTAGCGCTGGCTGCAAACTTTTAATGTCCTCTCATTGAAGTGTTCAGATCCCATCTGAGTTTTCTTTTGAATATTTTTGAACTTTACTTCAGTTGGCCATCTCTACTGGGATTATAAGACACCTTAGCAAAACACTGACATTGTTTACAGTGCACCAATGCGCCCTATATACAAAGAAAACTATGAGCTACACTGAGCATGCAACAGTTTAAGTGGGCATATAAAAAAAGATGAAAAAGTCATCCACCAAGAATCTGCTGCCAAAGCAGCGCCTTGCCAGATGCTGCCGCATTTCATTTTAGCTAATTTGAGCCAGGTTAAATTCTTTTGCTGGATGACCGTGTGTTTTTTATTTATTTTTTGTTGCTTCTGCATTGGCATCCCGCTGCATCATCGGACTGGCCTCATTAAAATGAATGAGGGGGCTGTGTTTTTATGCAGGGCTAATGTCAGTCTGAACACTGACTAAATCAGTGATTCCCAGGGGTACCCATGGGAGCACTTTTGCAGTTACCAGGGGTACATGTGACTGTTGAGTAGCTTGGCTAATTTGAACAAATGACTATGATTTGGTAAAAAAGTAAAAAAAATACACACATATTTGTGTTCAGGAGGATGAGTAGGATTTATTGGGGCTGAGCTTTAGTAAATGTATTGTAATAACCAATAAATTACCATCAATGATGAACTGACTGCACAGGTCGACCCACCAACCTGAGTCAGTTCTAACACCTTTACACGGTGTGCTCTGCGACTGAGATTGTGATAACTAGATACTATGTGAGAAGAGAAGTACAAACTATAGCTTAATGTGATGGATAAATGACTGAAACATCCAGCCTCTGCCACTCCAAGTGGTAGTACTACAAATGCAAACTTGACCGAAAG